TTCTTAGGAACAAACTCAAACAATTCTTTCTCAATTTGACTTAAGAGCAACTCCAACGACGGACTGCCTTTCGGCGGCGTCCAGGTGGATTTAGGACGAAATGCCGGAATTTCACGGAAATCCGCCGTTACGTTATCCCTAAAATGCCATCTATTACGCATTCTACGAGTAAATTCATTAAAAGCCTTTCTTAAATCCCCTTCATCGATCTTAGATGAAGTAGGTGCGACCTGTAACGCTCTGCCCAGCACTCTTATCTCAGTGTCACTTAAAATTTTGTGGCTAAAGTTGAAAACGTTTTCGAAGCAAAAGTAACCTATCAAACGCCCATTGTTGAATGTTGATTTGTACTTCCCCTGTGTTGACCGTTCTTGGTACATTTGCCGTAATATATTATCTGAGGTGTTAATTAGACCTACAGTACTTATGTTTTCATATGGTGGTTCATTACGTTCTCTACCGTTCATGTTATTATCCTCAGTCAATTTCCCCATACTATTGATCAACATCGTTCAATTCTTCGTTGTGTTAACCTCATTTATAAATGATCTTTTAACTTCTTCCAGGATTTGCTCTTCGTTGATAATATTATCGTCAGTCAGGTCCCCAATGCTATTGTTCAACCTTGTTGAGCTTTCCTCAAGTCCCGATGGTACTTCACTTTGTTCTAGAATTCTCTCTTTGATATCGGTAGCTTGTAAATTTTTGCGATTTCCTTTGCCGTCTACCCATAAAACAGTTCTCAAAGTCACGATATTTTTCTTTCAATAAACGTTCCTGTTCATTTCTTTCGGTTTCGCTCAAGAATTTATTACACAGAAGGCCTTCCAGCTCAGATCTTATAGAGCCGATTACATATTTTGATTCCGCGTATAGCATTGTGACGAGCTTTCGCTCTGCTTCATAAAGCACCTCGTCCCATCTCTTCTGAAAGTCTAAACTGGTGTGATTTGCGCTCGTTGTTTGTTACAGAGCCCGAATGGCGTTATTCCTCTCGATAAGCTTTCGCTGTAGTGATCCAGTGGTGTTCATATCTCAATAATTTTTTATATAGTTAACTTATAACTTGGTCGTATTTAGCCACAGATAAAAAAAGAGATGCCAATAAAGTAAACAGGGCAATCACCTGGCAAAAAGCCATTTATAAGTTAATCACAATATATATATTGCAGTTATGTCTGGTTTATATATATATTCGAGTTGTATCTGGTTTATAAAAAAAAAAAAATATTCTAGATTAAAAAGTACTAAATTTTCGGTTGCTAACTGCTACCTTCATCAGAGTTCTAATGTTCAAACAATTGTTTCACCAGTTTTGATTATCTTATTTCTGACAAATTCTCCAAACTCAGTACTGTAATTAACCACAAAATCGTTATCCAATCGTAGATGCTTGAGTATCCTGGCTAGGAATTTGGATAGTTGGTATGTTGGTGAGACAATTTTACTGTTCATTTGGCGTATAGGAACCTGACAGTAAGCTGCATGTAAAAGATACTTTGTGTATTTTGGGTAGACCATAGAATGTAGCGGGAGAGGAGTCGAATGGTTTTAACTGCCAATATTCCTTTTCGGACAAGTGCCCCGCTCGCTTTAGCTCTCTTAAATGTTTTTCCAAGTCCATTTCAGTTTTGAGACCTTCGCTTATCAGTAATGCGTTTATAGATATTTTGGTCATCAAGCATGTTGGTCACTTGACTCTGATATACACCCTTACTCATTACAACAACGGAATTTCCTTTATCAGCTTTTGTTACTAAAATGGTCTTATCAGCTTTTAGATCTTTCAATGCTTTCTTCTCACCGGGCGTCAAGTTTTGCTTAGCAGGTGGTCTTGCTTGTTTCAAGATGGAATAGATGTTAGCTCTTACCTCGTTTTGTGCTTCTTTAGGTACATCATGTATGCCTTGTTCAACTGAGGCTAAGATTTCTTTTTTCGGTATTTCATTTGGGGTGCTTACGTAGTTCAATCCTTTTCTCAACAAGCTGATTTCATCTTCGTTTAATTTCCTTCCCGAGAGGTTTACGGCAACCCATTTCTTTTGTATTAAAGTTGCGTTGTGCCAAATACAATTGTAGATATAGAAAAAGTTTGCTTGTCAACTAGAGAGATATCATTCGAACATAAGCACTGCTTTGTATTTTTTAATATCACTTTATTCAGAAACGCTTTCGCTCTCTTAGCTCTTCAGGTAATAAATGATGACAGTGGTTATTTTGTTTACTTACATATAGTGTAATATGATACTTCCTATTTAGTTTGACTATGTTAAAGTAGTGTTATAACCACTGTCATAATTTATCAGCTGAAGAGCTAAGAGAGCGAAAACGTTTGTGAATAAAGTGATATTAAAAAATACAAAGCAGTGGTTATGTTAGAATAATATCTCTCTAGTTGACAAGCAACCTTTATATATATATTTATATATATATATATATATATATATATATATATATATATATATATATATATATATATTGAAATCGGACATAAATTAGCCTCTGAAGTAACAAATTAATCAATTAATAAAGTTGACACTTAAAAAATATTGATTTAAGTACCCCTTTTCGTTTTACACAAATCTCAAATGAAAGTGTGTTGGGTGCCTTAAGACACCTAAAAGTGTCAAAAAGTACTGGTCTTGACATGCTTCCGGCCAAAATCTTAAGGATTGCTGCAAATACAATAGCTCCTTCCTTAACGAACATCTTTAATCTATCACTCTCCACTGGAATGTTCGTGGATGACTGGAAAAATGCAAAAGTTTTTCCTATATATAAAGATGGCAGAGGCAGATGGCCGGGGCACTCCACCTTAACCGCCTTGATTCAAATGTGTGATACATGGTTTATAAATATGCATGGACAGGGGAATGCTGACTAGAGTGGTTTTTCTCGATTTTTGCAAGGCTTTTGACTCGGTGAATCATGATATTTTGCTTGAGAAACTGACATACTATGGAGTTTTCGAAGTTGAACTCCAATGTTTTCAATCATATTTAAAAAACCGATATCAGCCATGCCAAATTAATGGGTTTTCTCTCAAAAAAAGGTAAAATAATATGCGGGGTTCCCCAAGGGTCAATATACAGGGGCCTCTGATGTTTTTAATCCACACAAAAGACTTCCCAAACTGCTTGAAATTTACAGTGCCTTCTGTGTATGCAGATGATACGCAAATATTCACTTCATCATATGACTCTGTGGAGTTAGCGGAAAATTTAAATTCGGACTTGAGTAACATAACTGACTGGTTAAATGTAAACAATCCTGAAAAACCAAGTTTATAGTTATAGGCTCTAGATATAATCTAAACTCTAAAGTTGGTAATCTACGCTCTAGCGTCACTATGAACAACAAAACTCTGACATATGTCACCTCCAACAAATGTATAGGGATTGATCTTGATGAGAAGCTGGCTTTTGATGTATATATATCGACGAACTATGTAAAAAAATATGTGTTGGTGTAGGTGTCTTGAGAAGAATAAAAACCTTTTGTCCCATTAGATTCTCTTCTGACACTTTATAAATCTTTAATTCAGCCGTATTCTGATTACTGCTCCCCTTTGTGGGACACTTGTGATTGCAGGTGCTCCAAAACCGTGCGGCTAAAGTGATTACTGGTGCAAATTACGATGCTAGTCCTAGCATGATATTGCAAAAATTAAATTTAGACACTCTTAATGTCAGACGTGCCAAATTGAAGAGTGTTTTGTTGTATAAGGTCCTCAATGGACTTTCAGCTCCAGGCCTGACTGATAATTTTATAAAACTCCGAGATTTGGAAGGCTGCTATATCATCTGCGAAATTATGCATGACACTGATTTAAAATTACCAAAACCAAGAACTAACTTTTTAAAACGCAGTTTCAATTACAGTGCGTCAAGTATGTGGAATAGTCTTCCGACAGAAGCGAAAAAAGCTACTTCATTTGGACAATTTAAGCGCTCAATCTCAAATTCAATCTCATTTAAATCTATGATATAAAATAAGTCATTATTCCTTCATACTATCTCTAATCTTGTAAATATTGTACTATCTTCTAATTTTGTAAATATTGTGCTATGTTAGTATGTATTATTGTATCTCTAAATTTTCTTTGTATTATTCACACGCCCCTCCTGAAAATCAACTATTATTAAAGTTGAGTGGGGCTAGCGTGTTTTAAATAAAGTGATGTACGTATGTATGTATGTACAACAACAACCAAACTCGTTCCCAAGATTCGGTTCGGGCAAGGGGCGAGAGGAGAGGAGAGGGGGGGGGGAGTAAAGGCCCTGGATCGGCTGTTTAAAATGCTTACATTTCGTGGGTAGTATGAATAAGCTTAATTTATCTTAAATCATGCATATTTTCAAAATAACGGTGTCGCGTAGAACAGGATAGTAAAGTCGCATTAAAGCATATTGGAATTACACTATTTCGGAACAATTACAAAATATTCCTCTAATTACACATAACTTAAGAAAAATAATTTCACCAATCACAAGTCAGAAGCGGTTGGCCGATCCCAGGGCCTTTTACCGCAAACAAAATCAAGGTAAAAGATCCCAGGAACGAGGTTTGGACAGCATAATGAACAGTATATTAGAGACAGATTTTTGCTAAAAAGGTTTCAAAAAAATCTAATCTAAAACTTGCCAGCAATTATCTAGGGGAGAGAATAATCTAGGGGAGAGAAAAATATAACATAAAGTTGTCATAGAACTAACCAACAATTAGTTTACATTTCAACTAAAGAAATAGCTATATAGCTTAATTTTCACCAAGAGCTGGAAAAACGCACGATTTCAAAAGCTACACTGAGCGAGTGAGCGTGCATTATCGTTAATTCGACTGTAATTCGGTATATGGTTTTTATAAGAAGTGAGGTGTTTATATTACTGTATTAAAAGCTGAGATGCGTATAAAGTGTTGCAGTATGTTCGCATAATTTTAGAATTGACCCACATGCATGATTTCGTGCGCAGATTTAACAAAAAAATTTTTTTTTTAAGGCAAACTACTCATCTCAAGAGGGTCATATCTCAATTCGAAATCCTTGAATGCAGGAATTATCAGTCCAATAATTGAATCACAACAGTTTTGCTTCTTCAGATTTTTTTATTATTTACGAAGTGAGAGCTTTCGGTCATTGTCTGGCATATACATTTATACTATAACCGGTAAGTACACGTTAATACGGCAATTTTTTACCGTATTCCGTACGCATATTTCCCTTTACTCTCTTAAACACCAGTATAGGTGGGACGACAATCGGACTTTCAACTAACTATTGAGACTTCGATCTGGAGACAGGGTGCTTACCCAGGGGTAGACCTTTTCCTCATAATTTTCGGCTTGAAAAAAAATAAAACACGTCCAATTCTTAATTATTGAATTCGTGCATGGTAAAACACACTAACAGATATAATAGATTCGATAAAAATTGAGTCCAAATTTTTCGTGGGTTTAACTTTATAACTACCCATTACGCTCTATGCGTGATAGTGAATGTTTGATACAACGTTGCTCTAGGTTCCTATACAAACTTTCAAAGGAGATTAATTTGGAGTACAAGGAAGTATAGAATTTACCAATGGGAAAAGGTTCTTCTCAGACTTCCACGTTACGCTGACGAATATCGGATCGCATTAGTAGGAGAAACTACCTCTGGTTATGTCGCCATCGATGACTTGGAATTAATGCTTTGCAATGTTGGAGGTTGGTATTAAATACGTGGCGATTACTATGATGGGTAATCATGCGATGAGGGGTAATGTTTGAAAATTTAAGAGTTGGACCAGCCGCAAATGAGCAAGAATGAGCAAAATTATTGGCAAAGGAACAATTTTTTTTTTTATTATTAATAGCATGATAAAAATAATTATATTTCTTAAAGCATGCATCAATGCATCTTGTAAAAGCTCAGTTCTGGCAGACTTTGATTCGATATTTTGTATCTTCGTTTCGAATACCGGTTTCTTAAATGTTTATCTTGTTTGTATGCTAATTCCTTACACAGTGTTTAGTTATTTTTATTGCTCTGGATAATCTTTCTAAATTCTTTAGATCATCGTCTATCTAATAACATTTTTGTTGGCAACAAACAAAATTCTATTCAGTACACCTCTTTGGCGGCAGAAAAGGCTGAGTCACGCCCAAAGTTTGTTATTGAACGATCACAAGTTGTGAACACATTATCTTCCACAAACTCGGTGTCCAAAAGTCCCATTTTTCTTGAAATCCAAGACAACTATTTTACCATCGCTAATAACTTTATCGCTAACAACATACATGGTGGAATTGAAGCAAAATTGGGTGGAAATTTCGCCGGAACAAGGCAAAAATCTACGGATTGCTCAATATATGGTAACACGTTTGTGGGCAACACAAACGGAGCAATTTTATTGGTTGGGCGGGGCTCTGGGATACAACGCATTCGGATTAAAATTATGAAAAATACTTTCGAGAATAACTTGGGCCCTTTCAGTACATTCAAAGTCAACAATATCCAAGTGAATATTGTCAGCAATTTCTTTTTTAATAATTCCGGGAAGCATACGCTCGAGTATCACTTTGAGAGTGATGGGTTTAAAGATCAGACTTGTGAGATGAACACGTTCTATTTTAATCGTGGTGTTGGACCTTCCCATGGGGTAACGATTCTCACAAACGGTCCAGTGGATTTTCGTCGAAATAATTTTAAGAATCCTGTCAATTTGTACGAACTAAGCTCAAGAAAGATGTCTGTAACAGACCCAATTAAAGCAATTAACAATTGGTGGGGAGCTGGTAAAGCCGATTACGTCCGCTCACGTATTTATGGCAAGAAAAAAAATGATGAATTCGCGTTGGTAATCTATGAACCATTTAAAAAATTACCACCAAGGGATATTCTATCTAGTAAGTGGAAAAATTCAGGTGAATTAGGAAAAATTAGGATCGAGTAAACTAAAAAGTCTCTTTTCAGTTTACCTTGACTTTAAACGAATCTAATTCATGTTAAGAATTTTTCAAATACGTAAATTTGAATTTCATAGTTGGTTGTCCTCCAAGCTGGCAAAAGATTGGATCAACATGCGTGGTTGTTAGAAGAGGTGTTCAAACGTTTAAAGAAGCCGTAGAATATTGTCAGGTAAAGCAATAAATGGAGTAAAAAAGTCAATAAATATATAAAGAAATAGAATGATTGAAGTATTAATATTACTGAAAAACTATTTTTGCTTCATTAAGATGGTCATTTCTAAGTTAAAATTGCAGCCAATTTAAACGAAAGGTTTATCAGCGATATACTTTTCCTTCTAGTATTTGTACACAAGTGTTGTTATTACGATCTGCTAACAGGCAAACTGAATACCCATTATCTGGTGGATAGCGCTATTCTGTTCTCGCACAACTAGAACTTGTGTTAATTTCAACTTCTGATCTGCATGATAAGATTACTCGAATAAATAAAACTTGCAAATCTTTTATCTGTATTCCAAAGTATCACGGAGGTCGTGTGGCTTCATGGTCGTCAGCAGAAGAAAAGAAATTTATCGCTATGGCGCTGGTTGAATCACGACCTGAAGAAGAACAGCATGTTGCAATATGGGTTATGACAAAACAATACCTGGTAAATATATGTGCATATACAGGGTGTATCAAAAAAAATGTCCCAAATGTAAAAATTCCGTTTTTCAGGATATTTTGCAGAATTTGGCAAATTTTTGTGTCCCTAGAAATAGTTAAGACTTATCTGGTATACCTAGGTCATGTTTGGTTTTTCATTAACAAAATTATGTTACCGGGGGGGTGGTTCCTTTCCACTGATATTGTGAGGGCTTGCGCGCGAAAATGTGAAGCTGAAATTGGGATATTATTTAGCTGTCTAAAAGTAGGAAAGCTTTTTAATAAACTGTCAAAGTTTCAGGAAAAATAATGCATACGGGAGCAACGCGCGACCCCTAAAGGTGACAAATATTTCATTGCGCGCAGTGGATTAAATGCATGGTTGATTTTAGCGTGACCGATCTTATGCAAGGCTGGGCAAATGAATAAATTAAAGCGAGAAACCGAACAAAAAGACGATCAAGCGATTTAATAACAAGATTTTTATTCCTGATGTTAATCCTCAACATTTCCACCATTTCTTTCTAAGCAAACTGCGGCTCGTCTGAGTATGGTAAACACTGAACGGCGAACCACATTTGTCTGTCCTGCCTCAAATTATCCATTTCGTTCGAAATTCTTTTTTGCAAATCGCCTACGCTACCACCGGCAAATCTAGGCGAATGGACAGACAAATGGTTCGCTGTTCAGTGTTTCGTATGCTCAGACAAGCCGCAGTTTGCTTAGAATGAAATGGTGGACATGCTGAGGATTAACATCACGAATAAATCGCTTTGTTTTTGTGTTCAGTTTCTCGCTTTAATTTATTCATTTGCCCACCTTGTATGAGATCGGTCACGCTAAAATCAACGATGCATTTAATCCACTGCGTGCAATGAAATATTTGTCACCTTTAGGGGTCGCGCGTTGCTCCCAGTATGCATTATTTTTCCTGAAACTTTGACAGTTTATTAAAAAGCTTTCCTACTTTTAGACAGCTAAATAATATCCCAATTTCAGCTTCACATTTTCGCGCGCAAGCCCTCACAATATCAGTGGAAAGGAACCACCCCCCCGGTAACATAATTTTGTTAATGAAAAACCAAACATGGCCTAGGTATACCAGATAAGTATAAACTATTTCTAGGGACACAAAAATTTGCCAAATTCTGCAAAATATCCTGAAAAACGGGATTTTTACATTTGGGACATTTTTTTTGACACACCCTGTATAAATGTTATATTTACAATGCAGGGCCCGGTTGTTCGAAAGATGGATAACTTATCCAACGGATAAGTCCTATATCCAACGATAAATCTGCGATCCAGTGGATAGTTATCCATTGGATAAAAATGCGTTGCACGAAGTGTAGATAGTGAAGTGGATAGCTATCCAATAGACCTTTCTTATAATGACGTCAAACGCGGAAAGTCCGTTGTTACACGAAATTTGATTGGCTCCACAAAACTATCGAGCCAATCAAACTTCGTGAACATCATACTTTCCTCGTTTAACGTCATTATGAAAAAGGTCTATAAATAAGTTAAAATTTACCAGGAGAAAACATGCAGGAATATCCTGAAATTTCCTACCACAACTTCAGCATTTCAGCTGTTGCTAAGCCTTTATAACATTGAATTCATAATCATTACAAATTCTCGAGTATATAGTTAATGAATGGAAAAGACTTGAACAAGTGATTTGCTCGAACTTTGCACTTCACATAGACCCCGTTTACACTAAAGCGAAAGTTTCCGGATTCATCACGAAAGCGGAATGTTTTAGTACCGGACTCATGTTGCTTTTTACACACGCAGCAACCAATCCGATAGAAAATATACTCGGTTTTAAGCCGTATCTGGAAACTTTGAATCCGGAAAATTTTCTTGTGTAAACGCTTTGCACGACGAATATTAATCCGAAGAAATTCAAACGTGACGACCAAAGAATTCTCCAGGAACAAGTAATGTGAATGTAAACGAACAAATCCGCATACAGAGACAACTAAAGTGTAGTGAGCAAATCCGACCTGGCAAATCCGATACATGTGTGTAACAATGAATCCGGATAAAGTTACAAATCCGGAAACTTTCGTTCTAGTGTAAACGGGGTCATAATAGTGATTTTATTAAACACATTGTAGCTTCATTCCTTGACCTTGCGACGCTTTGCCTTTCGGTTCCATATTTTACACTATTTTAATGTTTTGAACAAAATTCGTAGCCTTGTTGTCTATACTTGCCTACCGCGTGAATGAAATTACTTAGATATTAGCAAATTTTCTTGCAATAAGTTGAATCTTTCTTTGAAATTCCCTTAGATTCGATTAGAAGGGTATAGTAAATTGACCGCCTGTTCAATGCGAGAATGTCCAAAAATCGCGCTCGGAACGGAATGTGTAGGCCAGGGCGCTTATATAGTGGGCGGTGCAACGCGTAACTGCGCGCTGATCGATGTGTGATGCAAGCGGTCTGGTTACGAGTATTGTTTTTTACAACAATGGCGGATACGCTCGAGATGCAAACGTACAAAATACAAGATGCAAACGTACCAAGTATTGATTGTTTACCAACTATAAGTGCCATCAACCCAAACCAGGATGAAGATAGTGAAAGTATTCGAGACCATGCAGGCTGGGCAGTAAAAAGAGCAAGAGACGTGATCAGCAAAGGGCAAAATGAACTCCCATTGAAGGAAACTGTTAAAAAGGATGCTTCAATTGTTTTTGGAACAAAGTCAAACGCATTGACAGTTTTGTCTCAGTTAGGTGGAGACCAAAGGCAGCCAAATGGGAACTATAGATTTTGTATTCATGAGCATGTTGTCCCATTTTTTATTTTTCTCCATAAATTAGTTGAAAGTCTGTTAAGCCCAGAAAACATTCTTCGAGAAAAAGGGAACATTTTAAAGTTTTGCCTTGACCATATGTCGATAAATGAAGAACTGAGAGCCAGATGGAATGAACTTATAAAAACATCTGATATTCCCTCATCTATTGCTGTCCTCCAAAGAGTAGTGACCTTTTTTATTAAGTCGAAGCAACAAATATTTCGTGAACAAGAAGCTTTAAAACCGAACAAAAGAAGTGTTGCTTTGCGACAGCAAATAAGACCCTCTGTTAAAAAATGTGCTGCAGTATCCTCCACCCAGACAAGAAAAAACCAAAGCATCGTAAACCTGAGATCCAATTTTAACAGTTCATCTATAAATGCATTTCTACTCAATCTGAAAACTCTACCCCATCATGAACAGGAAAAAGTATTGGGCAAACTTCAAGAAAAAGAACTGGCTAAAATTTTGAAGGCTTTGAAACAGCCAGCATTCCTGGGAAAAAAAAAAGAAAAACAAATAAAAAGCCTCCTTGAAGCAGTAAAAGGGGGTCTGGTGTGTGCTAATATTGAGGAGGTATGTTGTAATATTAAAATAAAACCATACAATGACATATAGTAAAATGATTTATTGCTTTACAATAGGAATAAATCAAAACATGTTATTTACAACATACCGTAAAATTATGAAAATCAACCACCTCATTTTATATATCTACAATATCCCAAACCCTTTGATTTAACAAGGGTCCCCAATAAATTACCCTTAATTTAACATTCCCACAACAACAACCCCCCCCAAACATGACTGAATGTAGCATTCAACAATATCCAACCCACCCTCAATTTAAGTGTCTGCAACATCCCCCAAAGCTAATAATAAGTGTCCCTAACAAACTCTTAATTTAACTTTGTCACCACCAACACATCCCCCCCCCCCGTGACTATATGTATTCATAGCATTCAAAGCATCTTTGTATCCTCAAGGTTTTAAATGTTAGACAAAATATTCTTCCTAAAAACAATACTTAGATTGAATTCAAAGAGCAATGTAACTCTGGATGCCTGGGACCAGTTGTATACTCTAGTTACATTTAACTGCATATAGTAAGGACAAAATTGGATTGCAAAAATGTAGTTAAAACGTTTTTAGTTGTCCTTATGATAGGTATTCTGTGTCAGGGAAGGTCTTTTGCCCTTTATATGTGCTATTTCTAACACTAGAAAATAAACGGTTAAAGATAGACTGGCCACAAGTTGGTTGAAAAAATACCCTGAACATTGCTTCTTTTAGGAATGCTATCATTACCCTTCTGCTCCTCACCGAATTCAATATCAACATCATATGTGTTAGTTTGTTTCTTTGACAGACGCTTAGCTTCAGAACGAATTATCATACTATTGACATTGTAACCATAAGTGTACGCTGTCATATTATTTGTACCACCACATGCTTGCCTTTGCATAGAAAAGAATGACTCAACTATATCTTGACTTATTCTTTTAGGAATGATATAAGGCGGACTTCCATGAAGGGATCTGAATTCAGGTGTACCAATGAATTTAACCAGTGCTTTAAAGCCATTGATTGTTACCTGGAAATATATAAGGCAAATATAATTATAAGGTATATATTTTGTTAGGCCCAATAGTTGTTAATGTTTTAGTTCGCAAACATGATTTACATTGACTGTTTTAGTAACTGTAAGCTTTTGCATTGCTGGTCAATTTACCATACCACTTCTGTTTTTCACTTAATATGTGAACTTTTTGTATATAAATTTGGAAATAAATGGGCTTTAAACAATCGCTTTTGTGATTTTTTTTTACCTGTATATCAAACATAGTTTGCCAACTAATGAAATGGGATGATCTCTGATTTAAGTGCATATATAGAAGCCAATTCATTTTTCCAACTTTTAAAAAAGTCTAGTACATCATCTAAAGCTTTGATTCGGGTATCTTCTAATGAACTTAATGGTTTAGTATCGTTGAAGACATTCCACAATGCATCACAGTTTGAAATAAATTGCTGAGTTGATTTAGTTGCTTCATTTTCATACTTAGCCATGTCCTTTTGCACCTTTGAATTAAGTACTTGAACAGCTAGTTTAACACGCATTTTGCTCAAGCTGTCAAGATGGACATGAGAACTTCTAATGTCTGTGGAAAATAAATGTCTTTGTTTGTCTCGTAGATAAACTGAATATATATGTTCCCATAAGATATTCTTTGAATTCAGCAATAAGCAACTGGTGTATCGTGAGGAGTTTTCCTTATCGCCACTTTTGTAAATATTGTTCCGGAGTTTTTTGATTAGGTGAGGTGGATCAGACAAGAAAAACAATGGAAGCTTTGAAAATGGATTGATAACTTGAGCTACAGTATCACTACAGCCATTCATTTCCATAAATGCCCTGTTTTCAGAGGCTCCATCGCAGCACGACACAATGACTTTAAAGTCGAATGAATGAAGTAAACCTACTCCCTGCCAAAATGTTCTATTCAAGTTGTAAGCTGAAATTCCATTTGTTAAGAAATATGCACATGGGAATTGGAAATTACTGAATATACTTTTGAAGAAGAACTGTAACACATGCGTCGCTAAGCTTTTTCGTACAGAAGACATTGTTGTTGTATTCCCATTTGGAGTATCACCTTCATCACTACACAGGTCTGTAAAACCAATCAATTCCAAGAAGATGGGTCAAACACCAACCCTTCTTTGATTTTAACTTCATCGAAAAAAAGCCCACCAAACTTCCCTATTTCTGAAATGCCTTGCTTTGTGAAACCTTCTCTCATAGCGTTTAGCACTGACGTTTGCCACCCAGATTTTGAAGAACTAAAGTTTTTGTAGTCTGAAAGAGTTCTACCACTTGGAAGTTTTAGGAGTCCAGATTCACGGAGGTCATCATAAATGCTGTGGGACTTAGAATAGATACGGAGGCACCATTTCAATACCAAGGGATGCCACCTCATTTGCCTTGAAGGCATATTCAAAGCCTTTGCTTGGTCTTGCAAGAGTGTTAAGAAGAATGTGTCAGACTCCTGACCAGTATGTTCAGTGATGTGTGATTGTAGAAGCTTCTTTTTGCCAAACGTTTTGTCACAACCAAGCCATTTACATTGATACTTCCTATTTATTGGAGCTTCATCTGAAACAGTTGCCATGTGACAGGTAGTTATATGCTTCACTAACAACTCTGGTTTCTTGTGATCATGCTGTAAATGCAAACAATCCTCCCAATAACAAATATTGTTGTCTTGCTTCTCAATATTTTTGCTAAGCCCCTTGTATAGCTGCTTAAACAATGTCCTGAAATCAGAATCTGTATCATTTCCCACTGTACTCATTTCCTGTTGGTACTGTTCAAGGCGTTTTAACCTAATTTGCATTCTGTGGACTTTCCCTGCCATTTCTCTACTGTTCTCAATAAGGTTCTCTTTGGACATGTAATCAAACCGAGTGTGTTTTGAATAATTGTTTTGGTTAGGTTTTTGGTTTCTGGATTTAACTGTCCTTAAATAATGTTCCATCTTCAAGCACTCTTTGCCACATCTATCATCTTCAATTAGAAAGCTACATTTTGTAGATCGGACACACTTCTCATAAACACCAGAATCCTTATGCATTGTCTCAACAAATGCACCTGGTTCACCATCCCTTGTCTTATATACACAGGAAAAGTATTATTCTCATTTAGTAGATTTGTGTAATTTTCCACTGACACTCCCGAACAAATACTAAGCTTCTCCAACGACTCCATGAGAAGATACAACTCACTCTTACTCTGTATGGTTCGAGGTATTGTGTTACTTAAATCTAAAGTTTCCGGTATGTGCTTTTCTTTGGAAACAAAGGAGTAAGTACCATCTGCTAATATTACTATTTCATAATGGACTGTAACCATACTATTGTTCATATAATATAAGTGTACTTCCAATTTATCAACATTGGAGATGACTTTCCACATTGGAAACCTACTTTGAATGCTACTAATTATTAAATTGACACGGTATGCCAAAGCTTGGGTTTTTTCACTTTCTTCTAAACTGGAAAGGCATTCTGACTCTAAATCTTTCTTTAAACTCTCAAAGTTTTGCCAGTTGTTAGCATCTGGATCAAGCAGCAGAGTTATTAGATCTTGTTGGTGATTGGCAACAATTGTCTCAATGTAATTAGAATAATATTTCCACCTAAGCTTCCCATTAAACTTCCCAAGACCCTTGGTTATGTTGTTAATCGATCTGTAGAAATACATTTTGATGTTGCTGCAAGTGAAACGGACACCATATACTTTGTAAACAGCCAGTGAGATACCAGCATATTTTTCTGCAGAGCAAGTTCCTAATTTAGTTCCAGGAGGTAGTGCAACATTCACTAACGAATACATAAGCAGTTCCTCAGGTTGTAATGTTATTTTCCTGCAGTATTGAATGGGCGTTGAAACAGCATTTAAGAAAGCATTTCCCAAGTCAGCACACGGTTGTAATCTTTCGTTTCCATTAGGTGAAACCGGAGACACATTTGTTGTGTTTTGCTCAGACTGGGAGGTCGCTGGTTCATCAAATTGCGAAACTTTTATCCTCTTAGACGGAGAGGCAAGTTGCTCAGTCGCTCTTCTCTTACAATAAGTATCACACATTTTAATTTTTTGGTTTAACTTGATGTCCACGGACTTTTAGTAAAAGGATAATACAAAGATACGTTTGAACCGTTGTTTGGCTTTCGCAAGCGACATGGCGTGAAAACATTTAAAAAACCTTCTATTTGGTATACGCATCTTTTTCGTTCGATAGAATACAATTTGTTTTGCAGGCAACCGACTTTTGAAAGTAAATATCGAAAAGAGTACAATTCAAATTTTCGTTTTCTCAACAAATCTAAACGGGAAGCTTGCTTGGCGTAATGATCACAAGATTTCAAGACTAGGGCTATATTTATTTAACACTTGCGCTCGGCATACTTTTAGCTAAGGCATATTTTGAAAATTGTCTTAAGCACAAATTTAGCTTACAGCTTACAGTTACTTTAACGCAATGTTTTAAAACGAGCCAATTTTTTTCTATTCAATGACGCAGAATCTTTATATAACGAAACTGCAGCTTTTGTTTACTTCTCTACGGTGAAAATCGTAGCCTAAGGAGGCAAGTTTTAACTCGCAATAATACGCGACTTTCAATCGCTATATCCTCATATGTTCAATTCAGATTTTAATAAAAACGCTAAAATATAAGAAGATAAATATAATCTTTGACATACCTGAATTCCAAGCCTGGGACTAATTGACAACATTCGCATATCCTGCATTAAAAATTACCCTTCATGGAAGTCACCAAAGAACAACTTATTATCCAAAATATTTTCTTTACAATACCACTTCATGCACCAAACAAGCGTTCAAAAGATAAAATAGTAAGTAATTTGTCGGAACAATCTAAAAACTGTCAAAAAAAATCGATTATTGAGAAAAAACAGCCATTGTACAAACAGCGTTGAAAAATGAACTCCTTTTTGACTTTTGTCGAAAAGCACGCTCGTGCCAGTCCATTTCCGCATCACACATCGATCAGCGCGCAGTAAGCGCGTTGCACCGCCCACTATATAAGCGCCCTGGTGTGGGCAACGTGAAACGCGCGCTGCTGCCACAAATATATAAACAATGGCTGGAATGCACTTCGAAAACATTTTTAATAGTGAGTACAATCATGATGCATAATTATTAGTTTGTTGAAACACAGTAGCAGGATAATTGCATTTTTGTCCTTCTTTATCAAAATGTTTACAGTGTTATCTTGTATCTTGGAATTTAACACACACAGGATAGTGGATTTAAACTACCACCGGACCTTGTATAAATTTATCCAGTAGATAGCGATTTTTATCCGCTGGATAAAGTTACCCAAGCTTCGTGTAACGGAAATCACACGCTGGATAAAACTTATCCGTTGGATAGCGAGTTATCCGTCGGATAGCGGCTTATCCACATTTCAAACAACCTGCCCCAGGCCCAGTGTTTGTGAATTCTGGACGCTGATGGCTAAAAGCCGTAAAGTGTGAACTGATTGTATAAACAACATAAATATAGCGTAACTATTTTTAAGGAAAACGGGCAGATTTCAAAACAGAAATGTGCGGTGAGAACTTATGAGTACAAATATCGAGCTGTTCCATGTAAAAGTCTTTATCCATATATTTGCACACAAGCCGCAGGTAAGTTGATTTAAAATAATTTCGGGTTATCTATGCAAGGATCTTGACCCCCTAAACTCGCCTTAAGATATAACGCGAAATTGACAGAATTGCATCACGCGGTAACACGACATGAAGTTGATAGAATTTTATTCGATTCTTTATTCCATTCTTCGATACTTTATTTGCGAGATTCCCTACAATAGGGATTGATTCATCAAAATAATTATGATTTTTGGGAACTTTCTGCCGTAATTACGTTTTTTGTTTTGTACCCAACAGTTTTCGAACTGCTTCTTACTGTTATTTATTCTTTCTCGTCTTTCACAGTTACTCACTGTCCTAATGGGTGCTTCCACAATGGAGATTGCGTCGGAACAACTTGTTTTTGCTACCGCGGATGGACAGGGAGAGACTGTTCTCAATTTCACTGTAATGAAGCGAATAATTGTTCGGGGAATGGCCTTTGTATTGGCCCAAACGCTTGCAAATGTTCAGTAGGATTTCTGGTAAGCATATGATATACAATAACATTATAGCCCAGTTTACACTACACTCGACGTATTGGCACGGCACGGTTATAAAATGGGTACCCGTGCTGATTTAATCCCTACCCGGCCTTGATACAGGTACTTATTCTAAATTAAGGGTAGTGTAAACGAGGCATATATTATTTCACACTACACTCGATTTTGGCTCGGAACGGCTAAAATGGGTACACGTGCACATTTCATCCGTGCTCAACGTAGCCTTTGTTTAGGTAGCCTGTCCACCAATAAAATTGAGTGTAAACGAGGCTTATACCTCACTGCCTATTTTTAAATTACAAGACTTAACTGGTTTAAATTTCGGCTAAGCGCATAATCCAAAAATCAATCCAATATCGGACTTCACTGACATAGAATTGGACGACTTTTAATTTACTTTGTTCCTTTACAATATAATTATCTGAAAGAAATTAGTACCCTAGCATGGTGCTTCTTGCCCGTAGAAAATGCTATAAAATAAATTGATTTCTGATTAATAGATTACTTTTGCAGGGTCGAGGCTGTACCTACTCTGTTTGTGGAAAGTTTAGAAAATGTATTGATTGTTACCGGGATAGTTCCTGTGGTTGGTGCGACAGCTCCCAGCAATGCATTGCGGGTACATCAATAGGACCACATTCAACAAAATGTCCAGACTGGTTTTACCACAACTGCCACACTGTCGGGAATGTTAGCACATGTTCCAAAAATATTATGGTAATTTATAGAATTTTTGTCCGAAGCGCGTTGAATTATTAAAGAATTACCATATTAACTATGAAACTGAGAATTTATTTGAGTGTCCTGTTGGTGTGACACATGTTGCCCGATTTGAATCAGCAAAAATTTATGATTTAATGTTTTAAATTTATGTTAAATATTGATCTAAAATTTGATGTACATTAAAATTATTGAAGACGCGGTACTTAATGATCTAACTATACAGAGATTAGTGGGACGTGCCAGTTAGGCCTTGCACAGTACATCATATTCAAATAATTGTCGCATACTTGTAAGTGCTAATTTAAGATTAAATAACAGAAGACAGCCATTTTTGAATTACAGCGCGTGGACTGTGCAATGAGGCAGTGCAACCGATCTGAAAAAACAACAACATTGGAATCCTGTCAAAAATGTCACGATTATGAGAAGTGCTTCAAGAAAGTGGTACGATAATTCGTAATAATTTGTTGATTTGCAGTATGTATGCAATTAAATGATACGTTGCCGCTGTGCTAATCGATGTGTTGCGCCACTTACTTAATTACTTCATTACAACATTACTTATACATTTATCATATTTATTCGTTGAAAAATTTGAGCCATTGAGAGGCAGTATGTTGTCAACACTATTATTGCACAAAAAAAAATTGCAATTAAAACTACAGCTTTTAAGCTACGGATGCATTTAAAAGAATCTTATGGAAAGTTGCTAATAGTGTATGCATATGATTTGTTGCCGCGAATTTCCTATGACAAGAAAAAATGGCAAAAAATGTCTATCATTAAAATAGTTTTAGTATTTTATTATCTTATTTTGAAGATTCCCTCCCCATAACGGAAATTTTATTTGGTGAAAAAGTGTGTTAATATCGTTATTTGGCAATGTAGCTATCTTCATTGTCTGACGATGAACAGATCGTTTAATAGCCACATGTTACCAAAAAAAGAACGGCGTGCAAAGAAAAAAACTCGTTAAAAGGAAGCCAGCCCTCACTGAGTTACTTCTCTGTCATTCTCACAATAGTTATAAAAACCTTCATTCATATGTAATTAATACTAATTCCGGCCTAATATTCGGAGTTTTACTCTGCTGTATAGGAAGAAGGAGTGTGTAAATCATGGAATGACACGCGTTGTCCTGATGGAAGAGTGCATGCTGATTATTCGGATCCGAAAAGGGTAGAAAATGTTGTTTACAAAAAAAATGTGAAAATTGTTGACCCAAAAATAACAAAGATATACAATTGTCCCATTCAAGTCGCTGGAGAGGAAGATTCCTCTCTAGTTCTGGTTGCACCTGCAAAGTTGGGTCTCAAAGTTGGAGATGTGCTATTGAGTGGGCAGGCTGGAGGTCTGATGCACAAAGTTAGCGATACAACAGAAAAAGGTAAACATGCCTTAAAGAAATTGCAGCAACTTTTATACAACAGTGCTATAATTCACGTACGGTATAGCCCCGTGATACATATATACTACTAAGATGGGATGATGCAAAGCTGTTTTTAAATGATAATTAACTATATAATTACCTACGCGTTAACATTTTATTATTTGACTGGCAATTAGGAAATTTCACGTTCATTCTTGGCAGACCAGCAGCAATAAAGGAAGCGATTAGCTACGCAGATTTTACTCAAGAAGGAAAAGCAGCTCAGTTTATAGACGAAACAACTTTGGATATAGAACCTAATTCTGAGTACGTCAATGGCGTGATAGATGGATCAATAAAACTGAAAGAAACTAAAATTCATGTGCTATCCAAAGGTGAGAATATCATAATTTCATTAAGACCGTAGGTTACCCAAAAATGTGTTTTCTCATGTTATTAATCCACAACTAGCATTTTGAACCGTTATAATTTGCAATACATAAAGTAGCGCACGCACTCATAATTAAAAAATGTCATTGACAATTATGAGTGCGTGCGCTACTTCATGTAATGCAAACTATAACGGATCAAAATGCTAATTGTGGATTAATGCCATGAAATAAAAAAATTTCGGGTAGCCTATGTTCAATAGATATAAAATACAGTATACTTGGTTTACTTCATATGATTCTAAACACATATTCGGCATATATATATATATATATATATATATATATATATATATATATATATATATATATATATATATATATATATATATACAATTAAGTAAAGTATCCAAGAAGAAAGAGTGCTCGATATCAAAATTTAATAGAGCGATTAAAATAAAATCAATGAAATATTACAAAATTTTGAATATATTGTTCGCTACACTCTGTGTTTCACGTTTCTTCTGAAACGATCATCAGGCGAATGATTACTCTACAGCAGTTAAAGTTTGTGTGATGATGTTTTTAACGTGCTTGCGCTGATACAATTCAAAAATTGCGCGCGCGTCTAAAATTTTTTGCGCTGAATCTATTTTTATGTCTACATTTTGCGAAAAGTTCACTTCTTTTGTTTAGTGTCGTCTCCTTCGAGGATTTAAGAATTGCCATTTTTTCCTCCAGGCATAGGTTGCATGACCGTCCGCCCGCTGAGTAAGCCGGAACGCATTTGATGATTGTCCACTTGATGTTGAATTGTTTGTTTAGTCTTTTTAGGTTCCATGTGTGTTTTGATAGTTCAGTTTCGGATTCGTAGGCTGGGTTGTTTATGGATTTCTTGTGGTTGTAGTATCTGGTCTTGAACGTACCAGCTGTGACACCGATGTAGTTCTTCGACTCAGGAGGATTTGTAGTTATAATCTCGGCATTATAGACGAGGCTTTCAGTTAGGCATTTACCAAGGAGTGGGCATTTATTCTTGATGCGGCAGTTGCAATTTGTACGATCTGACGAGGTTTTGTTCGATTTCATGATGTTTCGGTTGTGGCTGGAAATAACACTTTTTACGTTTGGCATGCACGAGTAGCTAACTTTGACTGAATTGCGGTTAAATATCTTGTGAAGCTTTGAGGATTTTGGAAAGTGTTTATCGATTATTTGAAGGAATTTCTGCGCAACGTTAGTTTTAACGTTTTTACTGAAAGGTGGGTTAAACCAGATTATGTTCCGCTTACGTTGTGAATTGTGACGGTGTTGGCTTGGGTTGTGTTGATCGGAGTAGGTGAGCTTGACATTATAATTACAACGTTTTAGTGATTCTTCGTAAACCGGTAGACTCTCTTTAAAAGATTTTTCGTTGGAGGATAGTGAGGATAGACGTTTGTTGATTGACTTCGGTATTTGCTTGATGATGCTAGGTGGATGGTTAGATCTAGCGTCAACATACAGTGGCTCGTTGTTTGGCTTACGGAAAGGTTGGTGATTTCCTTCGATAAGGTTGAGTGTGACGTCAAGAAAGTTTACCAGGTGGTAGTTGATTTCCGCAGTGATTTTAAGGCCATAGTCATCAAAGATTTTGTGGAGATTTTTCCTTGCATGGTCAGCCTGACGACCTCCCGTTCTCTCAAGGATGAGCAATCCGTCATTTCTGTACAACCCAACGTTGTCTATCCCAAAGCTTTCAGCTAGTCTGTTCAGCAAGAACAAACCGACCAGTTCGCAAACCTCGGCACCGTCGTAACTTCCCATCGCGACATCGAAAAGAGACTGGTTGTTCTTTTTTACCCACGTTTTATCGTTGTAGAAGAGAAGAGACTTGCGCGCATGTTTAATGATAGAGATGAATACAAACTGAATGATACAAACTTTAACTGCTGTAGAGTAATCATTCGCCTGATGATCGTTTCAGAAGAAACGTGAAACACAGAGTGTAGCGAACAATATATTCAAAATTTTGTAATATTTCATTGATTTTATTTTATATATATATTATAATATTATATATATATATATATATATATATATATATATATATATATATATATATATATATATTTATATATATATATATATATATATATGATTTGTAGTAGGATATGACACCGAGTGGCAGCCCGCCATGGCAAGCAGAAAATTCTACTTGACCACGGCAGGATTTGAACCCGCGGCCTTCGGTATACTAGTCCGATGCTCTGCCAACTGAGCTACATGGCCAACGCGGGTTTTTGATATTTCGAAACAATACTAGTTTCTTCGATATCGAGAGCTTGTCAGCTCAATAGGTGATTTTAACTATATGCATGAAGATGGTACTCGGGAATAGGGACGATTTGTAGTAGGATATGACACCGAGTGGCAGCCCGCCATGGCAAGCAGCAGCCTGTCATATCCTACTACAAATCATCCCTATTCCCGAGTACCATCTTCATGCATATAGTTAAAATCACCTATTGAGCTGACAAGCTCTCGATATCGAAGAAACTAGTATTGTTTCGAAATATCAAAAACCCGCGTTGGCCATGTAGCTCAGTTGGCAGAGCATCGGACTAGTATACCGAAGGCCGCGGGTTCAAATCCTGCCGTGGTCAAGTAGAATTTTCTGCTTGCCATGGCGGGCTGCCACTCGGTGTCATATCCTACTACAAATCATCCCTATTCCCGAGTACCATATATATATATGATAGATATATATATATATATATATATATATATATATATATATATATATATATATATATATATATAACCATATGAATAACTATAGACAGCCCAGGCATATTTTCGTAGAGCAAGTAGACTCGTGTACACGCGCGAGCGCCACTAGAACGAAAACATGTCTGGGCTGCCTATGGAATAACTGTAATTTAGCAAAATTTTGATGAAATTTACAAATATTTTCATAAATATGGAATATACAGTATGTATTTTTACTAAATTAGAGGGAAACTCGAATGAGGTAAGGACTTTTCACGGTTTAACAAATAACAAGACTAAATTTTCGACCGAATTCACCACGTATAATGAAGTCGGAAGATTTTACACTTGATAATATTTCACCCGGCACAGCTTTAAAGTAATTCTTTTGTGGTAAACACAGCTTTATACAGCACTATAAATCTGTGTTATGTGATGAACGAAATTATAATCTCATTTATAAACTGCGTTTTCATATATTTAAAAAAGAAAAGAAAATCAAAACATTCCCGTGCAAAAACCAGTGGAAGCGTAGCATAAAACTTCGGAAGTTATATGAGACGTCTGATGTTAGATTTCATGGTATTTGATAATTAAAATAATTTACCATAACACTGAGTATAGATGAGAAACTTAACTTCAAGAAAAAGGTTAGAATCTTGTCGTATTTTTGCCATTTTTTCACAAAAATATGAGGGTAAACTTTGATTCTTTAAAAATATACGGCCGTTGCGAGTTGCTATCACTGAGCTATATATTAAATTCCTGGAGGACCGGCTCACTGCCAAATCGCGTCGCCAAAAAGATGGCGAATTTTGAGCTTTGCTGACGTCACATGGCTCCTTTTGCTCATGGTAGTTACCACTGACATACCGCGATACAAAGTGAAAACTGTGTCCATCTCCCTCCTGGTTTTTATGAAAATAATTTCGGCTATCGGTAAATAATTTTTTTGTATTTCATATAAAAAGGATAAAAGTGTGCCTCTTTTTCCCTGTTCAACAAATGGAAAGGAGACGTTACTTCGTGCCCTACGTCTAACGTTGTGAATGGCTTAGTTCACTTATCGGTAGAGTTCTTTTCTCATATATTTTATTGCATCCAGGTAAGCCGGGTTTTATAACAATTTTGTTTTTTGCCTTTGGACTATAGTATAAACTGATTACCAAAGATTGTGAGCCAATAAATCCATCAGAACTTATAGTAAAAACAGCAAATATACTATTTTCGACCCTTTGGTACATATGCACCCAAACTTTATCATTTTTCTTGACTTGTGTGGGGAAGGGATTTAATTTCTGGCAGTGTCAATCTTTTGAGTTTGGTCTATTTTGTTTTCATGATAGCAAATATCAATGTTTATAGGTGAACCTTTCCCCCAGTCAGTCTACTAGATGCCATCATCAATTAAAAAGATCTGACTGACAAAAGTGCTGAGTGGCGTGCTGATACAAAGTAATAAGATTGATAAAGCCTAGATAATATATTAACTTGTTTGCCTTGTCAAATCCAAAGTCAATTTATCAATTACCATATGGCTCATAATTGATTTTTTAGCTTTTTGCACCTTGTGAATAAATCTTGAACAGATTTTTATTTTTAGGATGAAGTTATGATGCTATGAAATAAAGGTGGCTTGTCATGCTGGAACATTCAACTGAGATGAATACAGCACATTATACACCTTGTTATGAATGTACATTGTTATTCTTACCATGCTCACCGATTTTGTTGTTGGCTGGTGTATTTATAACAATTGTTATATTTATGAAAAAAATAAATATAAACATGCATTGACTGAGCAGTGTGCCTTCAATCTGCACCCACTTTTATAATTTTCTGTTGATGGTATCAACTTCCAAGGGGCTATATGTTCATTAGGCTAATCAGGAGTAATGGAGTCTAAGGAGGGATTAATATTATTCATTACTATGGCCAGGGGTCTAAGACAATATTGAAAACTTTTATTGCCCATTGAGGTACAAACTGCACTTAGCATTATTCAGCTGCCCAGCATCTTGCCTGAGTTTTGGCCTCTTATCCTTTGGATTATGCATAGTTAGCAAGATTAGTTAGCATAGATATAAAGTTCTGAGGACATTAAAGAGAACATCATTAATAATTGCAACCTTTTCGTATTATTTCTGCAGTTAAGGGCTCAGAAAAGCCTAACTGATGTCCATAAATATCCAGTTGTCCTCACAATATCCGACAATAGTGCCAAAAAGTTCAAGCATTTGTTAAATTTCATATAGGAATGTATAAATAATGAAAATATGATTAAAAAAATAAAAAATAAACCTGTCAGTTATTGTCAGTATTAAAATCTTTAGTTTTGTCCACATTTTTTTGACGTTTTAATATATATTTGTTCTCGAATTGGCAAAAACAGTGTCTACGACTTGTATTCATCTTAAGAAAAATGCACTTTATTGCAGGCCAGGCGGCCAGGCCGAAAAATATACCAAAAAAACAAAACAACAAAATTCATAAAAACCAGGGGGGAGAACCTGTTGTTTAAAAAATCCAGGAGGGAGAATGCTGCTGTAGCGGGCTAAGAATTTAGCCCGGTCAGTGGTAACTACCATGGCAAAAGGAACCATGTGGCGTCAGCAGAGCTTCTGCGTTTGCGCAGAGGGCTGAAGTCCGCCATGTTTTTGGCGACAAAAAGATGGCAGCGAAATTACCGAAAAATGACGAGCCGGTCCTCCAGGAATTTAATATAGCTCAGTGGTTGCTATGGCCACAGTGTTTCTACGTGCAGAAAAGTATTACCGTACTCAATTTCTATTTCTCCATATCATGTACCCTCCAAAACCCCCAACCCAGAAAAATTTTCTAACAATCATGTTACCATCCCTACGCTTAACTAATTTCGTTTGATCGAGGCGAAGGGTTGCTGCATGCATGTATTTCTAGTTATATGACTGATCACATGTATGTCACGTGATCGCTACAATACCCAACACTAAATGCCATTTTTTGTAATCTATTTCACTGTTCATAATGATTTCAATTAAAACTTTCCACATGCAAGAATTAGTCAACACCCTGAAAAAATAGCATCTTGTTACGTTAGGAGGGATCTGCTGATATTGATTGTCTTTTAGGTTTTTCTTATACTAATTTATTTTCTCTTTCAAAGAAACTTCATTCTTCAAATGCCTAGCTGGATACATTTACGAAATTGGCGAAAATGTTTTAACAACGTATTATATCGTGATGGAAAAAAGTAAAGTGGAAGATGTAAGTCAAGGGGATGTGTTTGTATCTGTAAAAAATTCCGGATTTATCGAGCGTGTTGTGCAAAAAACCATCAACCAAAACATATCATTTTTGGAAACGAAAATTGAGAGATGTACGCAGGAATTTGACTTGACAAATAGGTACGTATTTTTATTCAGTGTAACATTTCATTAACTGGAACAGGAAGTTTTTTAAGGGATGTATTGCCGATAAACAGGCAGAGAAAATTCAAGTTTGTGTAAACTTAGGAACATGTCTGGGAAAAAGTATCTATTTTCAAATTGATTTAGAAATCTAAATATAATTGCACACCGTTTGAATTCCATTTGTGTTTAGTTTAGGAATTATTACAGATATGAATATTTTATAAATTTTCATCAATAAATACAACGAAAGTTTTTGTTTTGTTGACATACTCAATGGTTTGATTATTTAAGTGAATATAATTACCAGTGCACACGATTCGACAGGTCGGATGTGACTAGATCAGTTCCGACTTTTGGTTGCTTGTTCAGACGGTCTGATAAGTTATTTTGGCGGCATAAGGTGATATTCAGATCTTTCATTCATGTTAATTTATTTGCTATTAAAGCCAAAATTAAATCTTCGTTTAATTCGGTTTTTATTTCTTCAGTTCTTTTCAAGTTCAATTAAAGTTCTTTAATTAGCATGTGTCAAAGATATAACTAATTAGTCTATCTCTTTATTAATAAACTAAAAATCAGTTAAAAATAATTGATATATTATTTTTTAAATTTTAATTATTACTAATTTTAATTTTCAATTATAATTTTTATAATTATAATTTTTTTAGCTAATTTTTTTACTTAAGAATCAGTTCTAGCTAGATATATATATTTACCCTATTATTATATAGTATAGAGTATTTAGTGTAGAACATATTTTACACTGACTGAAACCAAGCGAAATAAAAAATAGAACTTAGCTAGGTACAAAACATTATCTGCTGACCGTGAGGGATATACTTAAAATCTTGAAATCGTTTTTAAAAGACACATGAAACACGAACACCTCTATTTCAGGTTTATCAAAGCAAGACCCTCGAGTAAAGAAGACGTATACTGTTTCGGAGGTGATAACAATAACGGCATTGTTATTAGCGAGCTGTCGGACGGTTCTGAAAACAAAGAAATTGAAGTTGGCGATCTTATTATGGGAAGAGAAGGTTATCCAGTGTTGGCAAAGGTTAGTGAAAATATATGATTTTTGGCACTTCACTCGATGCAGGTAAATTCTAAAGGTTCAAAGGGTCTTAATTTCGAGTGGAATAGACCTTTCTTATAATGACGTCAAACGCGCAAAGTCTGATGTTACACGAAATTTAATTGGCTCCTTAAAACTATCGAGACAATCAAACTTCGTGTAACATAAGACTTTCCACGTTTGACGTCATTATGAAAAAGGTCTATTATGCACACTTTTTTAAACTTTTTTTATTTTAGGTTATCGGCTCGAGAATCAGTGGTGATTATATTTTAGTAGAAGTAATTTCGGTAAAATGGATATCGGATGGCATAGCTAGTGCAGGTCATATTGACGTTGATCAAATACACGAGAAACATCGCAGAGAAAGGCGAGCGACTGCAAGTTATTATCTTAAACAAACTTTTGGTGGAGACAGGTATTTGGTATATGTAAGTATTCTAAATTATATTTAATATATAAATTATATTAAATAATTTTTAAATTCATATTTCAGTGTTAGCTACAAGGAGTGCAAACCAAACTTTTTAAATGCAGAAATAAAAAATGAATTATATTGAGATATCTCAGCAATTTATCCTTGACGTTTTGATTGCAGTAAAACTTAATAATATATATATAATTATATACGAAATACGGTACTTATGGGTAACAAATTTTATCCTCATAGAGTAATATTTGTTTGCCATGCATGTACATTATCCTCAAATATGCAACATATTGTAGCTATTAACTATAAATTGACATGTTTGAAGAGGAGGCGATCCGTACTTATAATTCGTCTAGCTAGTTAGATTGCAGGACTGGGGATTTTGAATATGATGCAATAAGAGTTTTACAATTGTGTTTTAATGAAGAGAGGAAAAAAGGGGAAAATAGAGATTGAGCCAACAATCACCCTGGATGCCACAATCGCTGTATCATTTACCATAAATGACCAAGATGAAGATACCCATATTAGTGGGAGGCTGTCTGGTTCCATAGGAATCAATTTGAAAGCGATATATTCTTTCAAAGAAAAGTAAGTGATGATGACAGCAATGATTACAAATAAGTAATGAAGAGGAATTTCTAAACTAGTGCAAGTAGGTTGTTAAACCGAGAAGGCAAGCGGTGACGGGATATTGCGGTTTTTAAACTTAAAAACTTAAAAGTGCATAAAACGGGCTTTACGCTCCTTCCAACCGCGTATAGCATATTACTAATTTTCGCTATATAAAATGAAAATGTGATAAATGTGTTAAATTCTTTCTTAATAGTGTGAGTAGCAATTTGCTAAACATAGTGAAGCCAAGGATCATACCGTTTTATATTAGTTTTGTGCCTTGCGAAGTAATCCTAAGCCTTGAAGGAGAAATTGGAATTACTTCAAGAGGAGCATCAAGAACTATTGAGGTAAGGGAATATTATCGATGCATTAAAATTTATTCGATTGAACCTCAGTATATTTCTCAACATATACATGATTTTATATGATGGCTTTAATAAAAATTCAATCTATATACGCTAGGTTACTTCACAGGGGTTATCGCTGACATTCTTCATAAAACCAGGATTTTCCGTGGAAGGCAAATGCTCGCGATCTTGTCGGACTAGCTGTTCAATTGATTATAATGTAAGTACATAAAAGCATCATGAATTCTTTCACATAATTTGAAGAATAATTATGCACTGTATATTAAAGAAGGATGCAAAGAACCATATAATTAGAAACAGCTTACTATAGCTATAGAACTATAGTAAAAACTAAAAAGTTGATGTTAACAGCAATGATTCGTTAAAGCATTCCGTTTCCTCGTGTTCGCAAAAAATGCATAAAATTATGCTAAATAATATTTTTCCCAGGAAATAACAACAATTAATAACAAAATAAATTAAAGTTTGTTCTATTTTCAAACCACTAATAATAAATATTTAATAATTTGTTGGAATTTTTGTCAGTCCCCACTGATTCTCCCAATTATAAGAGACCGTTGAATCAAAGCTTGGTAAAATCTGAGTTTGGTTTTTGATGGGTTTACATAGTGAAGTGGATTTAGGTTCTTGATTTGTGCCATTAAATCGCTGCTCTCTTACCCCTGAATTAAATGGTAAGTAGGTAGGTAGGTAGGTAGATTTATTTTAATTGATATTAAAGTAATTGTACAAAACATTTATAACAGTTGAAGAATTCATTCTTCTGGCGTTAATTTTTTAAATATATCGGAGCCCAATCTCATACGTCTGCTTAGTCAGGTCGAAGTTAACAGATCGTTGAACGAATACGCAAATTATTTACGTCATGACAAAAAGTGAAAATTTAAGCCTGCATATGGAAGAGTACATGCACGCCTAAAAACGCTCAGGTTGATGCAAGTTGATAAAAACAGGATGGAGCAATGTTGTGCTGCCCACATTGTTCAGAGCTGTTATCAACATTGAACAATATTGTTGAAACTGAATCGGGTGTAACAATATTGTTCAATATTGATAACAACTCTGAACAATGTGAGCAGCACAACATTGCTCCATCCTGTTTATATCAACTTGCATCAACCTGAGCCTTTTTACTTGTGTACATACACACATACACAAAACTTTATTTAACACACAGGCCTCGTCAACAGAGTTGTTTTTCACGTAGGGCGTGTTAAAAGATGCATAATGCATGGTTACATAAAAATTACAAGCAGATACAAAGACTAACAATCAAAAATCAAACTGTGAACTGAAATTCCAAAGGTGAATATATAAGTCTGGACCTCAGTATATTTTCTGGTCTGTTGTTCAAAATAAGGTCAATCAATGTTGTGGGATTTTCAGTAATAACCCTGGTTGCTTCATCAATTAATTGTGAAAGCTTGTACACATTGCGCACAAAAACAGCAGCTTACAATTTGATTTTATATTTGAATTATCAATAAAGGTATATACATGCATTTTTTGCGCATTTCTTTGATTCCATTATTCACTTGTATTTTGTGGTTGACTTCGAAATCTTCTCGCAATGGGTTTCCAGAACCCCCAATTTTGGCATCTATAATATTATGCTCCATGCAATTACTGCCAGATTCTTCTGGTAGATTGTGCCAGCAGCATGTATGATGACAATAGATTGTGATTTTCACAGGAATAATATCTTTTATCACTGAGTCTCTACTTAAAATAATGTTTTGTTTTGATTGGGTCATTCCTGCTCAATGTCTGGGTAGTGGGTGTTCTGAGATTGTTTATCTTTGGAAGGTTTGGGTTGTTTGTTTTTTTTTGTTATGGTCAAAAATAGGTTGTTGCTGATTTGTAGGCTTTCGTATTTTTGTGTTAACCAAAGTTTTATTTGGTTGGATATGGGGGTCAGCTAGTTGATGATTATCTTTGAGAGCTTTTATCTCCTTGAGAATCCTCAATTATTTCAGAGTCATGCATGATTCTGTTCTGAGTGATGTGCTGGGTGAACCTAATCATGGTTATGTTCTTGTTGATGTGTTGTTGGAGTATCACATTCATCTGCCAAGTTTCCAAATCTATTGTTAGTAAAGATAACTGATGGAGTTGGAATTGATTGCATAGGTTTTGTACCACAGTGTTTATTATTTGTATGTGCCTTCTTCCATTCTTTGGGGCAGTGGCTTGTTGCTGAAGGATTGGTTTCACTAATTGCTTGATAATATTTGTCTTGAGCTTGTCTTTTCTTGTAAGTTATACACTTTCTGTTCAAGATTATTTATGTACTGTTTGTTGTTAAGAATTTCCCTTTGAAACTATTCGTTTAAATCAACAGATTTACCATACAGGGAGAGTATTGAGTCGTGATCCTTCAAAACTATTTGGAAAGAATCAACTGATGACTGTATAGGAACTGAATTTTTGTTCTAAGACCTCTAACTTCATTTGTTAATTGAAATTGACACTTGCAATCACTGTTTCATTTGCAATGAGCCTCTTGGGAATCGCTTTTTAAGTCTGGTTTCTTAGCCAGTAATCAATTTAGGCGACTCGTTGCCAGCATTGGGAGTATGCCATTCAATACACACCGAGGCGTCCTTAGTTTGCAGTTGTTAATAGGCAATGTCTTTGCTTACATTTCGACCTTTGGATCCTCCCTGAAGTACAGACGATTCATTATAGGCATGAAAATTATTTTCCCCAATAAGATTGTATACCAACATCCTTAGCATTTGCGATGGCTTTGTGCACATTTGAGGCCAGAATCCCTTCTGTAGTTGCAGTCGACTCACAACCGCTAATGTCGCCGACGATATTCTCATTCGGGTCAGGGCCATTTGATAGTTTTTGAATAAAAAACTTCGTAAATGACTCGCCCTTTAATCCCTGCATCTTTGATTCAGTTTTGCATCAAAGTCTTTTTTTTGAAACTTGAACGGTATGGTGTCTAGGTATATTTTTAAATTGGTTCTTGGACTATCTAAACGCGAAGCAGGGCCGTAGCTAGAAGCTTAATTGGGGGGGTGCATATTCATATATTCGTCTTATGCCCGAATGATTTCTTTTGTATGCTATTGTTCCTACGGTATACAAACATGAATATATGAATATACACCCCCCAATTAAGCGGTCTAGCTACGGCCCTGACGCGAAGCGTCAACGAGTTGTTTTTGGCCGCGTACCATCGTCTTTTTACACAACGACATCAGGAATTCCACAAGGCAGTGTACTTGGTCCACTTCTATTCTTGATATACATGCAAACGACTTTCCAAACACGGTTAACGTACCATAGTATAGTGCCGATGTTTACTGATGACAGGAAATGCTACCAAGAAATTACTGAAGCAAGAAACAGCGATCTCCTTCAGTCCAACTTAAATCTCCTCCATCATTGGTCGTGCGAGTGGGATTTAAAGTTTAACACAAACAAATGTGTTGCTCCCCAACCCACCCCAACAGTACCTCCTTAACCAGCAACCAAAAATTTTTTCTGCTACTCAAAATGATTTAGGCACTCTGCACATTTTTCTGCACATTTCCAGTATGGTCAGTAAAGCCAATAAAAAGCTTGGATTTGTAAGAAGGAATTGCTTGAAACAACGAGAATTTATATGAAACAAAATAAGGATTCCCGCGTAGAGGGGATACCTTTACCTCTGTATATTAAATTCAGTTATGCCATCTTAACAGATTAGGTTGGGAGCTAGTTGACTCAACAATTGTCCAATGTAACAGGTTTATAAAGAGAAGACTTACGGTGTGCTTGGTTCATTATTTTTATAGGGTACTAGTGGTCAATCCGACAAATCTAACACAAAGCGTTCTACTGGTTCCGCAATAG